TAGCAGTCTTTACGAAACAGTATTAGTCTAGCTTTAAAATGTTGTAGGTACAAAAGCTATCAATGGTTTAATTATCACAGTCAAAATATTCATAAATATATTTTTAAAATATTTATTGTAAGTTAAGTGTTACATTTAGCCATAATTTAAAATATGATGTATCTTACAACTTAATAACCCTTTTCGGGTATTACAATTATATGACTGTAACTTACATAACTACGAGTATATTGATCCTAATTAATTAAAATTATAAAAGAAATTAAATTAAGTAAATAAATTAGCTACTCGTATTATAAAATTTTAAATAACAAATTGTTTTGGTTGTAGGGAAATACTCTTTAAAACACTCCTTTGGTGGGTTACTTGATTCGTTCATGTACAGTATCCCAAACTCGAGTTCGGGATTCCCAACTTGAGTTAAGCGCAACTCGAGTTAACTCGAGTTAGTTACCTATCACTAATGTAGCAAGCAACTCATAGTCATATTAAGATACTAATACTAAGTCTATGAGTCATATTAGTCTGTGGTGGTAAACTGGTAAATAAATAGCATAGATTACTGATAAATCATAGACTTAAGCTAAACGCACATTTGTCTGCGCCGCACGCGCCGTACGCGCCGAGTTTTACTGATGGCCTCGCACATTTGCCCGTACGCATCGTCCGCACCGTACGCAAATCATTTGTATTACCAACAACTTTTGTAGTTTTTTCCAACCACTGGTGTGAGACGGTACAGTTTGATCGCTCGAAATCACTATGGAAAGCAATTTAGTAATAGCCTGCTTATTGGCAGAGGAAGAAGAAAATAAAATTCGAAGAAAAAGAAGATTCTGGATTCATAATATTAATTTAAAAAGGCAATTGTATTTTGAATATGAAGGGGATATACTTTATTTAAAGACTTATTAGATGATGATGAACGATTTTTTTAGATATTTGCATTTAACATATAAGACATTTCAAGAAATTCTACATATACTAAAACCATATTTTTCTATGGAAAACTCAAGATTTAGAAAGCCAATTGAACCATAAACAAAGACTTGTTGTATGTTTGAGGTAAGTATTTTTATTGATAATTAATCAGGTATAATTGGGTTTTTGAATTAAATTTAACTATTTTTTTGTTAGTTCAGTATTTAAATAATTTATCGCTAGAATACATATTGATAATCGATGCAAAAAAAAAAACAAATTATGTATAATTAATTACGAATGAATTAAAAGCTATAAAAATAAAAAATTATCATGTAAGTCGAAACCCCTAGTTATAGTGGAAAATCCACTAAGTTGGCAATTTTAGACACCTATACACTGAGTATCAGCACGCGCCGAGCACGCCGCGTTATATGACGTCATCAGCATTCGTCCTTCGGTATCGTATACTGTAATGTGCGAGGTTTCATATGATTTCATACAACGAATTCTAAAATTCGGCGCGTACGGCGCGTGCGGCGCGGGCAAATGCGCGTTCAGCTTTAGAATATTACGCCAGTATATTCTAAGTCTATGTTATGGAGTGTAGAGTAGAAGGAGGACCATCTCTATATATGAAAAGTATCCCTAAAAACGTGTCCAATAAGGGTGGCAATGCAGTAGCATAGGATAAATTAAAAAAAAAAGCGCCAAAAGTAATTAGAATAAGATGGAGAAATAAACAAGGACCGACCAATCCGCTTGGTTTTGTACTACGTAAATAGTTGAGGTTTTGTATACTGGCATTTTACTAACTACTCTGGTCATGAATTTTTTTAAATATTTGAATTCAGCTGACTTCACTCCGTTTACAACAGCTATCTTCATATCGTAGTTTTTCAGACGACAGCGCTATTGTGGTAGGTTTTGGAACCTCTATTTTCAGTAAATAGTAGGACACTTTTTCAACTTTCGCCCCTTATAAGATGGTTCTCCTTGTACTCTACACTCCATAGTCTATGTGATAAATAGCTTGTAAGGATGTGCAAGGGAAAACATATATAGATATATATCGAACCGATATTTTTAAACAGTATCGGAATATATCACGTGATAATTATCGATATATCGTCATCATTTGCGTGATGAAGATATATCGACAAATAAATAATATATCGATATATCTTCATCAATAAAGATAAGGTCCACAATTTTTTATTACTGAAGGTTGGACGACGAAAAACAAAACGACATCCAACCACACATGAATACTTTTGTACCTTTTTTGGCTGTTACATGTTTTGACATTAATACATCATTTTAAAATATTTCGAAATTGATAAGAATTCGATATTCTAAATTAAATATTGATATATCGATATATCGCGATTTAAAATATCGACGGTATATGTATATTGAAATAACGATAATTTTATTAAAACCTATAGATATTTCGATATATCGATTTTTTTGTACAAGCCTAATAGCTTGCTACAACTACATATTTATAGGGATGGGCAAGGGAAAAAATATATCGATATATATCGAATCAATATTTTAAACAGCATCAATATAATATATCGCGTGATAAATATCGATATATCGTCATCATTTGCATGATATAAAGATGAGGTCCAAAATTTTATTTCCTGACGGTTGGACAACGAAAAAAAACGATACAACAAAATATATCGAAATTGATACGAATTCCATACTCGATATATATCGATATTTTGTTTTTTTGCCCAAGCCTACATATTTATGTACTACCTTACTATTATACTCTTTAATATTTATATATCTATGAAATAAATGGGGGTTTTGGCGGGAACTTGACCAGCGGCGGTTTGCTGCTCCTGTATTATTGTTTAAATAATGGTTTGAAGTGGACTTTGATATGTAAAAGTGGTGCGATTTTGTGTATTAAGTGTCTGCGCATGTGAACTATTAGTGGAAACTGTGAAACAAGTGCTTTGATGGTGATGTGATTCTCAAAATAAGGTGTCTGTCTGCTTAGGCGCCTTGAAATACTATCGCCAACCGTCAGCTGTCTGCTGGCTCAAGTTGCCGTCAAAATCTCCTAAGGGCTGCACAATGTGACGGGTCATCATATTGTGAAGCAGTATACTATGAAGGATAATTATTATAATATATTGTAACTTCAGGCTCAGAAGGGCTAGATCCCAGAGGCGTAAAGCCAGTTATAAAGAAGAAGTATGAAATAAATTTTGCGAGCACGGTATACGGATGTGACATTGAGTGAAAAAATCGATTAATAAATAATCGATTTTTTGCTTTGTGATATTAATCGATTGAGGAAAAATCAATTTTTATTAGAAGAAATAATCGATTTTTGTGAAAAAATTCTCTTACTCGAAATAATGCCTGCTTTCCTATATATTAATAAAACTACGAGATTAGTATAGTATTAACAATTTATCAGAATAAAAGTCAAGTAAAATGATAAGTATAAAAAATAATCAGAACGACGACGAATAGAAGATCTGGTTTCAAAACAAAACTACAAAACAAATTTTTTAACCTATATCTTTAAACAATAAAAAATAATTACTGCCACAAATGTACAGTGCCATTTAACAATTTATTAAAACCAAAATAAAAAGAAACGATAGTTCTTTTAAAGTAAGTTTGAAAAACATAAAAATCTAAATATCATTATTGCCACAATTGTTCAGTTTTACATTAGATAAGAATGAAAATAAAATAAAACTATAAGGTTAAATAATCAAACGACAACCTTTTGGTCTCAAAATTAAAATACAAAATAATTCTTTTTTAAACATTAAATTTAAACAAAAAAAAATACTATAAATAATTATTGCCACTAATATTCAATTTATATAATATTTTCAATATAATATTTACATTGCACTAAAATGAAAATAAAATAAAACTTAATTATAAATAATCAGACGACAACCTTTTGGTCTCAAAACTAAAATACAAGACAAATCTTTTTTTAAACTTGTGTAAACAAAAAAGAAATATTGCCATGAATTTTCAATTAAAGAGTTTAAAAACAACAATTTTACCAAAATTCTTCTTCGTCTCTTTCCGAAAATACGGTTTTGTTTTTTCACTTTCGAAAATAATCGTTCAGCTGGCACGGAACTGACCATCACAGAGAGGTGTTTAAGAGCCAATTTGGTTAGTTTAGGGAAAGTACCTTCAGAGCTTCTCCATATATTGAGGGTATCTGCCTTGAGATATGATAGTGGTGCCGCAATAGATAGGTCCAATTCAGTATTTTTGCCATTTGACGTGTTGGCCACTAATATTTTTTCATTATAAAATACTTGTAGGTGTTTTACAAGACATTTTTATTGTTTAACAATTATTTGCACTCTCCAAAGAAAGAAAGAAAACCACAGAATACTTTTACTCCTAGCGGAGAAAGAAAACTGTTGAAAACATAGGAAAGGCGAAACTGTTTTACATACATAGAGATGAATACAGGTGGCGTCATCGTTTGATCAACTTGTTCATGTTAGTGAACTTACTTCGCGTTTTTTTATCTGTCGCAGAGATGACGTTGTTCTTTCGATCGACTTAATGTTATTGAACTTACTTCACGTTTTTACATCCTTCGCACAGATGACGCTGATTACAAAAATCGATTAAAACGTGTAATTTACATAATCGATTTTTAGAAAATCGATTATAAGTAAAAATAATCGACTAATATAAAAATCGATTATTTTTTACATCCCTAGCACGGTATCTACCACAGAGTACATTATATATAGGGAAGTATCTACCGTCACAGGAACTTTTATAGTTTTTGTTTTTGAATTATTATAAATTAAACTCAGTTGCAGAAAAGGTAATTGCTTAATTAAGAATAACACGGCATAAGATTTCGATAATTTTATATAATATATTGTCTCAATTTTAACTACATAAGAGTATCAAATTGAATTTAACTTCCTAAGTTAGCTTCGTTTTTTTTTAAAGTGTGTTTACCTTACTTTGTTAATAATGTTATCTATTCGTTGATCTAGTTTTTTTTAATAAAACTTAGTAATTTATTTCATACATGGTTTGTTATTTTAGAGACAATGGCGGATCAAAATAAGGGTCGTGGTCGTGGCATGGCCTTGCTACAAGCCTTAAAAAAGTCTCAAATGGTGGATTCACCGCCACCTTCAGAAGAGTCATCTCCAGATGTGACTCCTGGTCCTAGTGTGGCTCCAAGTGTTGTAAGATATTTATTTTCTGACTTAGAACATAACATACAGGTTTGGAAAAATAGATAGATATAGATAAAAGCCTAACAATTTAACTCCCACATTAGGAATTTCTCTTGTAGAGGTATTTATATACATAAACTTTACATGGACAAACTTGTAAACTTTATATATAATCCTCACTCACTGATCAGGGATGGCAAACATGGAAATTACAATCCTTCCTATAATGGCACTAGGTTGGTGGTTATTGGGGCCTCTTAACCACAAGAGGACAAGAAGAAACATTATGACTATGTAATCTTAAAAAAACAAAAGTACATTTTTAAACTATAAAGGTAACAAAAGAGCACACAGTCCACCTGATGGTAAGTGGATACTGTGACCAATAGACATCTACATTTCATCCTCTAATCTCAATTCAAATTCTGATGCAATGTCACCCCTGAAGACTAAGAAGAATGCCTCGTATCCAGTAAGCAGGATCTCCGGTTCTCTACACTCACCATATGAAACACGCTGGTATTCTGTGAGTGTGGTCCTTACCTGGTCGAGCCGACCCATTTGTGCTGCAACCATAATATACCTGCAGCATGGCTCTACCATGTTTAAAAGGTACCCACCATCTTACCTACTTCTGCTGCCAAATAACAGTGCTTGTGTTGTTGTGTTCTGATCTGAACAGTATCAAAATATAGCTACAGTGTGGCTATATTTTGATACTGTTCATACTAAAATAACATATCTTAATTGTAACGTTTACAAATAAATGAAATTTTTATATTAACCTTTTATAATACCTACTCACCGAAAATATTATGTGTTGATTTCTTATATTTATGCAAAGGTTCTTAAGAGATTCCATCATCCCATTTCCTCCTGTGGATTTTTTAAGGGCGACTGTGGGAAAATTACGGAAAAAGTAATAGCTTCTTATGGATGGCATTATAACCATCTCTTCATCATAACAGCCCTTCACAAGTCCACTGCTGAACATAGGCCTTCCCCAACGAATACCACAAAGCACGGTCCTGAGCCACCTGCATCTATCGACTTCCTGCATATCTTACCAGGTCGTCACTCCATCTAGTGGGGGGACGCCCTACACTTCGCCTGCCGGTACGAGGCTGCCACTCGAGAACCTTTCTTCCCCATCGGTTGTCGGTTCTTCGAGCTATATGGCCGGCCCATTGCCACTTCAGCTTACTAATCCGTTGGACTATGTCGGTCACTCTGGTTCTACTGTGCAAATCCTCATTTCTGAGTTTATCATGCAGAGAAACTCCGAGCATAGCCCTCTCCATAGCTCGCTGAGCGACCTTGAGCTTCCTCATCCGGCCAGCAGTGAAGGACCACGTCTCAGTTCCGTATGTCATCACTGGCAACACGCACTGAGTGTACAGTCTCGTTTTCAAGTTTTGAGGTATACCTGACGAGAACATGTGCCGTAATTTCCCGAACGCTGCCCAACCGAGTTGAATCCGTCGATTGATCTCTCGGTCGAAGTTGGACTTACCTAGTCGGACTAGTTGTCCCAGGTAAACATACTCGTCAACAACTTCGAGCTTAGTGTTCCCAACAACTACCGGCATAGGTGTGACATGGACATTAAACATGATCTTTGTTTTGTCCATGTTCATCTTATGACCTATCTATCCGTTGGGAAACACTATTGAGGCCATTGAGCATAGTGCTTAGGTCCTCCAGCGATTCTGCCATAAGGACTATATCATCGGCAAATCGAAGGTGAGTGATGTACTCGCCATTGATGTTGATACCGTATCCTTTCCAGTCCAGAAGCTTGAAAACATCTTTCAATGCAGCGGTAAAGAGTTTCGGGGATATGATGTCACCCTGTCTTACACCTCTCTGCAATTGGATAGGTTTCGTACTCTGGTTCTGTACTCGGATAGCCATCGTAGCACTACTGTACAAGCACTTCAACACTTCGATATACCGACAGTCAACTTGGCATCGCTGAAGGGACTGCAGCACCGCCCAAATTTCGACGGAATCAAAGGCTTTCTCATAGTCCACATACGCCAGACATAGTGGCAAATTGTACTCCTCGGACTTCTGTACAATTTGCCGAAGGGTATGTATGTGGTCTATGGTGCTAAAGCCTTTTCGGAAACCGGCTTGTTCGGGAGGCTGGAAGTCGTCAAGTCTGCGCGCGAGACGATTCGTAATGACTCTCGAAAACAGCACGTAGACGCGGCTCAGAAGGGAAATCGGTCTGTAGTTCTTCAAGAGAGCGTTGTTGCCTTTCTTGAAGAACAAGACCACCGCACTTCTGCTCCACGCCTCCGGTGTAATGCCACCATGGAGGACAGAATTAAAGAGCTTCTGAAGGACTTCAAGTACCGGTTTTCCACCCGCTTTCAGAAGCTCCGTTGTAATTCCATCCTCGCCTGGGGCCTTGCTGTTTTTAAGGTGCTGGAGAGCCATTCTAATCTCGCTCAGACTGACGTCCGGGATATCTTCGGAATAGTGTCGGATGAGACTCGCTCTTGGATCGTACTCACACTTGCGCGTGGCTCCTACGATGACGTGTACAGCTGCCCATAGAACCTCTCAATCTCACTCAAAATCTCAGGTGTCCCGGAAACGATGCTGCCACATTCGGTCTTCAGCTTTGACAGTTGGCTTTTTCTGGCAGACAGATCTCTGGCAAAGACTTTGGAGCCTTGGTTCCGCTCGATCGCTTCTTCAATACGAGCTGTATTTAAGTTGCATAAGTCCTGCCGCATGCATTTGGAGATCTGTCTGTTCAGTTGCCTGTATGCTGTCAAATCTGTTGAAGAATGTAGCTTCATCTCCCGTCTAACAGCCATGAGATTAAGAGTGTGATCGGAGAGCTTTTGTGTTCTTCTGCGGCGGGTCTTGCAGAACTTAGCTCCGACCGCATGGACAGTTTCCACGAGCTTGTCATTTAAATCGTCCACTTCATTGCAGTCTTCTAGGCACTGAAAACGGTTTTGTAACTCGAGCTGAAAGGTTTCGGGACTTTGGATTAGAGCACGAGGGGGACGGAGCGTTGACTTCATTAGACGAGACCTCTCCAACTTAACGTTTAGGTTCAGTGTGCCTCTAACCATTCGGTGATCGCTGCTGGTTTTCACCCTCGCGATCACTGAGATATCACTGAACAGTTGTCGTCTGGTCGTCATAATGAAGTCAATCTCATTTTTTGTCGAACCGTCGGGGCTCGACCAGGTCCACTTCCTGTGGGGCCGCTTCTGGAAGAAAGAGTTCATCATAAAGAGTCCCTCTTTCTCCATGAAGTCGGCCAGCTGCTGGCCCCTTGGTTTCCGTTGCCCTATTCCGAATTTCCCTACTTTCAGCTCACCATTCTCTCTTGTGCCTAGTTTTGCATTAAAGTCTCCCATTAACACCGTATATTGGGTTTTGGAGGAATGCATGGCTCTAGAGATATCCTCATACATTTCCTCCACCTCCTGATCGGGGTGTGCCGAGGTTGGTGCGTAAACCTGTATGACCTTCAGTGAATACCGTTTGGTGATTCGAAGACACACTCTCAATCTTTACAACGTTGTTAACGAGAGACTTGTGTGCCGTGTAGTGGCGGTTAAAAATATCCACTACCCCATATCTTCCCGTGGGTGTCGTAAAAGGCGACAAAGGGAAACACGCAGGAGATGGGCAGCAGCATCTTCCTGGTAACGGCAAAATACAATAAAAAACTGCGGTTGCCAACCCGCTCGTTAAGCGTGGCAACTATGGCAATATACCCCCCATGATGAGAGTTACGAAGAGACAGCCCCCAGTCCCCGGCGGCCCCGCTATTCCTGGCTACGGTGGCGACCATGGTAACGGCGGGGCAGGGGGTGCTAAGAATCTCCGGTGGAGGTTCGGATGCCACCTACAACGACTCGACCTGGCAAAATACAACGCACGCACCCTGAGGACTGACGAGAAGATTGTGGAGCTGGAAGAAGAGATAGACAAGTTACGCTGGCATATTATAGGATTATCCGAAGTCCGAAGAGAGGGGGAGGACACGGTAATCCTCGAATCCGGCAACTTGCTCTATTACCGGGAGGGCGACCATCTGTCCCAAGGAGGTGTCAGAATTATAGTCCATAAGTCTCTCGTTAATAACCATCTCTAGTAAATGCTAAATGTGAAACAAACTGGAAAAGGACAGTGTCATCAAAGATCAAAGAAGTCTGGTTCTGCGATGGTCAATCCACTTCCAAGCATGACTTAAAAAATCTTTTCTCCAAGGGGAGAGGCCCATGTCCCGCATTAGAATTTTACGGGCCTATGATGATACAAATGCTACATAATAATGGTAATTTTATGAGTTAATAATTTTATTGGTATGATGAAAACTCTTAAGTATTCTAAATTTAAAATCATGATAAAATTGGATCACACTTATGGGAACTGACTAAACGGACTGGGTTGAAACTCTATTTCGTTATGGAAACCACATAGTAATGTGAGAAAAAAGCTAATAAGGAGGTAATTAATGCAATGGCTGATATTCCAATATATTGCTAGTGTGTAAGTACTGGATAAATATCTTTCTTTCTTGCAATGGAATTCCAGTTGCTACCTACCATACCTTACCTTCGGAACATGCATAATTGTATGCTGTTTTTTTTTAAACAAAACAAAAGAGTGACTTTTGAAAGTTTCTAGTTCTGTTTCTGCTTAATAACAGGAAGTTAACTATGAATGTTTGGTAGTCCCATGCTGGTGTAATTCACTAAAAAGTTTCCTGTGATATGGCTTATCATTAAGAGCAGATTAGTGAACTATATTGTTCAGTGTTGGTTAAATTGACTATACAAAATACGGTGGACACCCAGTAATCGGGCCCCTGTCTAATCATCCCTATAATCATCTGACATCCTATAACAGTCGAGGCACATTATTAATCCGCCACGGGGGAGGTGTCTTACTGTGAATATGTGGACAAACAGGTTACAATTAGTTCACGCCACCATAAATTTTGCTTGACACATATTGTCATTCATTATTTACTGTTTAGGTATTAATTGTGCATCACATGATTTTTTTTATTATTTTATATGTGATATGTAATTTGTTGGATTACAAGGTAGTCTTTTTTTTTTAATTCTAGACTACCAAGGGTTTGTCGCAGTACTATATAAGTTGGACAAATTTGATAATCCGACTCTGCACTGCAAAACATTTGTCGGATTATTGCAGGTCAACTGTATACATAACAGATTGTCTTTAGTATAAAGTTGATATTTTAATCATCCTAGTCATTACACCTCATCTCTATCTTTTGGTCCATAATATATACAAGAAAAATACTCATATACAAAGAATTTACCACGTCCGAACCTGTCAAGACATGATTTATTGTGGACTTAAGTGGCAATAATTAATAGCATACCTTCTATCTATATTCTGTAATGATTAAAAATTCGTAATAAAGAGGTTTTTGATAAATGTGTTCATAATGTAGAGGTATATTTTGCATTAGTTCTTATGGACAGTTCTGAGCGATTTCGAAAAATTCGTTAAATCCAGGAATTCGTTATATTGAGACTCTTTATATCAAGGTTAAATAATAAATAATAAACCGCTAAAACGAACTTTTTCGTCGAACCCTTCGAACGACGAGGAGATACGACAAAGGGTTCGAACTTCGAACCCTTTGTCGTATCTCCTCAGTTTCAAGGCACTCCCCTTGCTACCTCAGCTAGCATCGGAATCCTCGGCGTCGATATATCGAATAGTGTGCAGTTTCGTGGTCACTTGGAAGGGAAGCCCAAATTGGCCTCAAAAAGCTTGGCGTGCTCAGCAGAGCGAGACAGTACTGTTGTCATCTCTGGGCTGGGGCACCCCAGTGCCAGCTCATTTTACTTGACCGCATCCAGCACAGAGCGGTTCGAATCGTCGAGGACCGAGTTCTTTCTGATCGGCTCGATACACTGGCGCTGTGTAGGAATGTTGCATGAGTGCTCTGAGGAATTGTTCGGATTAATTCCAACCGCCAAATTTCATGAACGCACATCGCGTCAATAAGATGGTGAGGATACCATCCTCACCATCTGGATGCTTGGCGGTCTACGACTGTGCGTTGTACTAGGAGATTTTCCTCTTACAACTTCTCTGTGGAATTGTTTACCATCGGCGATTTTTCCGGACCGCTACGACTTAGGGACCTTCAAGAAAAGAGCTTACACCTTTGTAAAAGGCCAGCAACGCATCTGCAATGCCCCTGGTGTTGCGGTTGTTCAGCGGCGGCGGTAGTCACTAACCATCAGGTGAGGCGCATGCTCGTTTGCCCCCTCTTCTATAAAAAAAAAGGTTACACTGTATATGGCCAGCTCATTGCCACTTCAGGTTTCTGGCCCGTTGCGCGTTATCGATTACTCTGGTTCTACTGTGGATATACTCGATACAAACTCTTTCTCATAGAGAAACTCCAAGGATAATCCTCTTGAGAGCTTGCCAAGCGACTTTGAGCTTCCACATACAGCCAAAATTATCCATCTCATTAATACATCACCACAAATTTTTCTCCTATAATAATGCAAGACTGTATGTGCACAACAGACCAGAATTGTAGCTAGAAACTATTTGTCATCCGAATACTCATCAAGCTTATCCCCAATCAACAACCCACTACCACCCTCTATTCTGGCAAACTGAAACCATTATATAATAGTTTTAATATACTTTTACATATTCTGGATGAAAATTTGTTATTAAAGATGTGTTTATTAATCTTGTGAAAATAATATAAAATTATATGTATTGCCTCATTGAAAGAGCACCTTTATTCCTTTACACTCTTACCTGTAAACAAGGAAACATACATCAACAACTTTAATGTGACACATGTTGTACCTCTAAACGAGGCACCATCAGAAGAAATAGACTCCGACAATGGCTGACTGTTAAGTAAAACCTAAAAGCTAAAATTAAAACAATTGAAACAACATTGTAATTTTCATAATTAAAACTTGAAATATTATTAAGACCGAGGTAGTGACGGGTGTAGAACAGAAATCTGTCTGTGTCTGTTTGTGTTAGTTAGTTAATAATAAAAATAATGAAAATATCTGTTTAGTTAATTCTGTTGGATCATTTCAGGTCAGCTCTACCGCTGTTCCATCTTCAACGACAATAGGAGGAAGAGGTAGAGTTGCTGCAATGATGCTATCAAAAATGCAACAAAAGCCGAAAGGTAACCTTTGAATATATGTTATCATGGGACCTTAAAGCATGATTTCAATTTATTTACTTACATATTGATGCTCTTGTGTTATAGTGGTGAATCAGAATCTATTTCTATTCTAGTAAATGGACAGTAAGTCCATCTGATGGTAAATGCATACAGTGGTCCATAGACACCTGCTTCCATCATCAATTAAGAATAGAAACAGAAACAAACTTTTTTATTCAATATAGATTATAGATAATACTTATTGAAAGTCAAACTTTTGTTTAATTGCCACTGGTTCGAAAAAAACCTCTCTCCTGGGAAGAATCAGCAAGAAACCCAGCAGGAATTTTTTAATCAAAATGAAGTTACGTTGTCATCACTGATGACTAAGTTGGAATGCTTTGTTACCAGTAAGATAGGTCGCCGTTTCTCTACACTCACCATACGAAAGACGGTAGCATTATGCTAGTATTCTCTAAGAGTGTGTTTCTTTCCCAGTTGAGGTGACCCATTCATGTAATAATCATAATATAGCTGCAACATGATTGTACCACATACATAATATTATTAACGTTATAGTAAAAGTTTAAAAGGTTTTTACTGCATATCACACAGATCCACCACCGTTCTCACCAGCTACAGATGTGAGCCCAAGTTTAGCAACAACAGGAGGTGCAGGTCGAGGGTTAAAGCTGTTACAAAACTTGTATGTATTTTCTTCATTTCTAAATTGTTCTCTTACCACCTTACCTTACTTTCTACCGACTTCAAAAAGGAGACGGTACTTTATTCGACTGTATGTTTTTTTTGTTATGTGTGTTACCTCATAACTTTTTACTGGGTGGAACCGATTTCGATGAATAAGTTTTATTTGAAAGCTGGTGCTTCACATGTGGTCCCATATAAATTTGATTAAGGTCTGACCAATAGTATTTGTGTTATTATTAATAATTTATATTGAAGTCGGTTGTACAAAGTTTTTAATTTTAAATTAATTATAGAATAAGTGTGACAAATAAGCACAGTCTACCTAATGGTTAGTGAATGCTGAATGTGGTCCATAGACACCTACATCTATTCTTAATTGATACGATGGAATGCCTCATTTGCAGTAAGTCTCTGGTTCTCTTTACTCACTATATGAAACACAGCAGCATTAAGCTGCTATATTACACTGGTATTCTGTGAGAGTGTGGTCCTTTCCCAGTCGGGCCGACATACGGTTCGTGTTACAACCATAATATAGCTACATCATGGCTTTGCCTCTTATATAATAGAATCTGCTGTTGTATGAAGGTCTTTAGTATACTCCAAACGACACATTTTTTAAAAAAAAGATTTGTCCATATTCACTTAGCTGGGTTATAGGCAGGTGAGTACAATAACTTTTTACTTTGTGCGTTAGTACATATTTAGTACAGGGTAAACCAATATGAGAATATATATAAATGAAATCAATAATAAGTCGAAATTAAGACAAAAGTAAGTTGACAGTGAGGTATATGTCAATCTTATTAATTTTTATAGTAATCCCGCAGATTAAGATGCATTAGAAAAATTTGGTATATTTCAAGGGAAATTTTGACAGACTTCATTTCAGCATACAACATTTTTAATATTAAAAACATTTGATATGGTACTAAAAGTCTTATTAAATAGGTTCAGGAACAACACTGTTAAGAGTTAGTAAACTGGATAGATATTTTTAAAGTTTTAAATGTTTGCATTCTGCTGGATATACTCTCATACTGTTGACTGCTGTATTCCTAAAATTCTGACTGATTATATTCCTTAAATATGGTAAAAGAATATTACATATTTATGTGGTAGAGCCATGCTGCAGCTATTTTACTGGTATAGTTGTAGCACTAATGGGTCGTGGCTCGACTAAGGAAGGACCACGCTCTCACAGAATACCAGCTTAAAATAGCAGCGTAACGCTGCTGTGTTTCATATGGTGAGTGTAGAGAAACGAGGCATTCCATCTTAGTCCTCACGGGTGACAATGCATCTGCATTTTGATTTGTCATTGAGGATAGATGTAGATGTCTATGGGCCACAGCAACCACTTACCATCAGGTGGACTGTGTGCTCATTTGTCACCCATATCCTATTAAAAAAAAAATTGTTAAGCGGTTTGTAATGCCCAATTTCACCGACATCCCCTAAACAATCACATAGTTAGACGACCGCTAAGCTAAAAGGTTCCCTAAACCAACCCATAACTAAAATTTGTTTTCACGAACGCAACGGACTTATAGCTAGGGGACCCTTCCTTATGTGACCGATTTTTTACGACGATAGTGCTTGATACCCAGTTGTAGTTACCGGTTTTATCGGAAATGATATATATTAATACAAAAAATACGTATTCATGTATTATTTTAATGAAGAAATTAGTTCTTTCATATTTTGACTGATATATGTTTTCATTTTGTTAATATTTTAATAAAAATATCATATTTTTAGTTTATGTTTGACAAGTCACCGTATTTGACACTCAGCTTTATCTGTGCATTGACTGTTTGACATTTGTCTCTGCAAGTCACAGCTGCAAGTTTTCGTGGTGTTTTCGTTTGGTATCTCGTTTCTAACTTTTTATTTTATAATTATGGCCGAAAATAAGAGAAAGTGGTGTCAAAATTTCACGTTTGATGAAAAGGATAAACTTGTAAAGTTAATGAATACTTTTAAAAATGTTATATTAAATAAAAAGACGGACGGTACAACAAATCAAGCGAAGAATGAAGCGTGGGTGAATTTGTGCACAAGATTTAATTCCACAGGAACCACGGCTAGGTAAGTTATTGATAAAAATAAACCTTTTGTTTAGTACTTGTTATAGTTGTTTTAAAGTTAAGTTGCCTTTACATCCAAACTTTATAGCTGTAAATAGTTATTGTCATAATTATTATCTTGATTTTGTATAATATGTAATGTGTGTATTAAAGAGTTTCTATTTACTTACTTGAATGAGAAGTTACCTACCTAATACCTGTATTCTCAGTACATTAACCTCTTTATCTACTATGATGAACGTACTGAATTGCCTTTTAATAACCTACCACTAACATTTCAGAAGTAAAGAATCTCTTATGAGAGTCTGGGAGAAAATGAAGACTGATGCGAAGTTATACAAAGCACTTAGCAAAAGCAGTTACAATGGCACAGGAGGTGGCCCATCGTGTGTTAAAACAGATATAATTTTGGAACAAGTCAGTGACTTGATGGGCTGAGCATGTACAGGCATAACTGATGTCCAGGATTCAGATGCTGACCAAATTACTGAAGCCAGTTCATTACCAATACTTGGTGATGAGACAATGGAAATTTTAATATTTCAAAATGAAAATGTTAGTATTTATAGAATTCTCTATTATGTAGGTATATTAAAATTAGAAACTGACTGACAAATAGTCCAAATGCCGTAGTAGAAATCAGGGCAATAAGTTTGTTACATATTATAATATTATATAAAAGTAAGTTATGTATATTATTGTGTTTGTTTAAGGAGATGCTTTCGTTCCTACCAGTGGTTCAATAGAGGGCTAGACAGAGAAACACTACGGGGCGACAACGACAAAATGAACTAAACTGGCAGAATTTTCAATACAAAATTATTTCAGTCATTTGTATAGGTGTCGACCCACTGTATGATTATATTATATTTACACTGTGATTTTTATATTAGAATTTGTTTTGTTACAATTTTAGTGCAATACAAGAAATATGGAAAATATTGAAAATAACGATGTTGGGAATAATAATGACATTGCTCCAACACTGTCATCACCAACATCGTCTCAATTTATAAAGTCCACACCTATATGGAAAAGACGACGACCAATAATTAAAGAAAATAAGGATAAAGCTGAAGTTGTTTCAACGTTATGTGGAGGTTTTAAAGATTTGAATTCTAAAAAGGCTACTGTGGAAGATTTAAAAATTAAAATGTTAGAAGAAGAAATAAAATTTAAAAGAGAATTGTACCAGCTGCAGTTAGAAACAGCTAGAAAGGAATTGGAAATTAAAACTGAAGTATGCAACCAATTAAAAGGTATGTGTTTTATTTATTGGTGAAATTACTATATATATTTTACATAATAAATTAGATATTTATAAGTTATCAAAATATTGTGTAATTTGATTTCTGCGAAATCCATATGACAAAGAAGGTCTGTCAGAAAATGCCATATTATTTATTTGTCCCCTTGCAATTAGCTCTTCCAGGTTAGGCACATCATCATTATTCACAGGCTGTTGCTCATTTCTTAATATGCATATATTATGCAAGATACAGCAAGCTATAATGACATTAATGGCATTGTTTAAAGCTAAACGAATTCCAACCGCAAGTACTGGAAACCTTCGTTTTAGCACACCATATTGCCGTTCTACCACATTTCGTGTTGGGCGTTCGTGTTCGGTATGGGCCTCATTATATTTTCGTTCTCCACTTGTTGTAGGGTTGAGATAAGGTGTCAAGAGATGAGGCTAAAACAAAAATATTTTTAAGTATTATTGTATATAATAATGTAATTTATATGATGTAAAATATTTCTTTTCTATTCCAGGTCACACCTTAAACTTTCAAAATGTATCAGGAATACCTAAAAATGGTTCTGCAAATAACTAGTTTAAGTGTACTTTTTAATTAATTAAATATCCCTTACCCATGCATAATCTTTTTATTAAATAAAAAGTATTTATTTAATCAATATTTTGAGCTCTGTGATGAATGATGTTATTCTTTTTGTTTGTAATTTTTGTAATTCTTTTTGTAACCTACTTAAATTTTAATCAATATTATATTATTATTCTCCTTATTTTTTCTTTTACCTTTAAGGGATAGCCACTATCCCCAAGTAAATGGCTGTCTTCATACTCCCCTCTTTCAAACTTTCTATAAATATAGCTATTTTGGTAAATTGCTGAGTCATGTGTAGAGCCTGGCCAGCGTGCAACAACATCCTGGACCAACAACTTTGCTGATGCAATTGTTTGGACATTTATGGACATGTAGCCTTTCCTGTTTCTAAATAGTTCAGCATCATCTCCACCTATAGATATAAATAATACTTCATCAGCATTGCTTGATAGACTACTAAGAGAAATGAACTTTTAGTGAAAGGTAGTTAAATAAAAATGAGGAATTTACCTGGTGACTGAATTTTTACATGTGTGCAATCAATACAGCCTAGTACATTAGGGAATCTAGCTATATCATAGAAGTCTATCTTAACTCTGTCTTGGTCTCTGTTTGTATCAGGAAATATAATGAATTCTCGACGTAGGGAAACAATTGCTTGAGACACTCGCTTTACTATCCGGCTGGATGTAGCCAAACTAGTACCACCCATATCAGCCACAGCAAGCAAGTGATTGCCTGTGGCATAATATCTTAAAGCTATTAATAATTGATTTATGGGTGGTATGGAATTGTTCCTGTAAAAAATATAAACAACTACAAATTAAAATAGGTAGAAACTTAAGTAAGATATACCTCGGGTATCAATTTACCATGGTAGGTAGGTTAGCACCAAACAGGTACCTACGGCTTACCTATACAGGCTCATTTTCTATTTAAAAGTTACTGTTAGGAGAGCAATAAAGTAACCTTTTATGCTTTTACCTTTATTTCGTAGCTAGGTATAATAGGTAATAAGTGAAAATGTAGGAACCCAGGAACCCACACTTTAACTTAAATATTTAATAAACTACAGTTTTAATAACATTATAGACTATTGTACATACATTAAAATTGATAACATATGTAAATAGTTAGGTACTCACCTATTATCAGGAAATTCCAAAATATGTTCAATTTTTTCCAACAAATATATCACTGTTGATTTAGATAACCTATATCTTCGGAAAAAATCTATTTCATCGAAATCGTTGAAATAATTTGGTCGTTTTCGATATATTTTAGGTCTTCGACTACGATTTATATCAAATATAGTATCAGTTGTGTCTAAATTATCAAGAAAATCAAATAGATCACGGTCCATCTTGTCCTCTAAAAGTCGCTTTTACTTATGTGAAGGTTTATGGGACCAATAATCCATCTCATAAATTTAGGGGATCGTTTAGTCAGTAACGGACCCTTTAAAAGTGGTGAAACGGAAACTATCCCCTAACTGGCCCCTAAATATGCTAAGGGGTCCCATAAATCTTACGGGTCGTTGGTGAAAGTGGGCATAAATCTTTTTTATTATTTTCTATTTTAATTTCTTATTGTATAGTATTGATATAATGATGCTACATAGTATTATGTTATGATATTGTTTACTGTGTGGCATACATAGGCAAAAAATGTTATTTTTGCATTTTTTTCTTCTTTAGTGAACATATAACATTTAATGTTTTATAGGAAAGCTCAAATGGCCCAGAAACAGCCACAGGTGGGAGTCGAAGAGGTGAAAGAAGTCACACAAAAGATGGCTCAAAGTACAATATCATCAGTACAGTCATCATCAGTCGCAAAAAATAAATATTTCGTAAGTTTTACATTTATAAGTTAAGTTTTAAATTCATTTTCTTATATTTAAATAATGAATTCAAGTAGAAGAAAGGAAGAGGAGGGGAATGAAACTTATATTATTGAATACTGTGCCATAGATGTGCCGAAAAAAATCGTGAATTTATGTTGCTATTATAACAGTTAAATAAAGTTAATATGCACACATGATATTTTTATACAAAATCCTTTAACCAATTAAATGATCGAATTTCCACAGGACTTGATCCTAGTAATAACATGATGACCATAAGTTGATATATTGGGGCATATTTTAGCTAGTAGATTTTTGTTGATTTTGAGCTAGAAGCCAGGATGCTTTTACAGCTTCATTGAACTCAGAGCTTTATTAAGGCAAAGATGTTGCTTTATACAGGGTTATTTTGCAATAACCGGCCAAATTTGCAGAGAAGGTTCAGAATAAGTAATATAGGCAAATGGTGAAGAAAAATTAATTAAAAAAATCTTAAACATTCTGTCCTTTTTATCTTTTAAATTCAAAATGCGTGAGAATGCATTATTTTAATTGATTTTGATGCGCACGCACACATTCGTAAGGGTCGATCGGTAGGCAAAACTGTGGTTGCTCATAAATCACAATCAATTTGGGATAATTTGAAATAAAAGTAGAAGCCTTATTTACTCGTATTTTCAAAAACTGCTATAACGGTATATCATTATTTATATATTTGAACTAAAGTTAAAAATTTGGCTACTCTTTGATGAATAATCCTGTATAACACAATAATCACTTCCAAGGTTTAATTTACTTGTTTAATAAATTGCTAAAGCTATTTATTTTTCTTCAAGAGAGAAGTAAAAGAGACACCACCTGTTGTTAAAAAAGGTGAATCAGGAACACCTTGCGAAGTAACAGCGAACTTTATCTACCTTAACTTTGAAGAAAATAATGTGTTTGAATATGAAGTTAAGTACGAACCCGACCAGGACTATAAGCATCTGCGTTTTAAACTACTAAATGGTATGTTTAATTTAGTCTTAATAAGGAGCGTTATTTGAATTTAAATGTTTGTTTCAAAATTCGTACTTAATTCCTAAGGCGATTGGAAGATACCGATAAGACATTTAACAAATAGTAGATACTTTTGGGCGGCATTTCTACTATAATAAATATAAAAATAAAGAAAAAAATATTATGTAATATAACTTGGGACCTATTTTTCTATTTTATCCACTATGAGCTGTTAAAATATTACATTGTTTTTTTAGTTTGTTTTATAAAAGTGATGTGGCTTACGATAAATTAGATAGTCGCTATACCTATATTCTATAGACTATAACTATATAATATATAAATAAATGTTATTAGTAAACAAATGGTTTCTTTGGGATAACTTTGCCACCTCCAATTAATTTGCTTGTATATTGCCCAAATACTCAAACACTTCTCAATTTTAAGATGCCCTTAAGTCTTGTGCTGTGCCTATCACTTGTAAGTCAAAGTGATTGTGACACTACGAGACTTAACAACATCTTAAAATTGAATAGCTTTTTATTATTTAGCCCTATAATGCAAAATTCCTCTTTGTTATGGAGGGATTCAGATTTTGTATAAATATTCCTAAAATTAATTGTTAAAAAGTCATAAAAACGAAAGAAATGTATAATAAATTTAAATAGATTTATTAATTAATATTTGTGTTTCATAGAACATAGCAAATACTTCAAAGAGAAAACATTTGATGGAACCACACTATATGTTCCCCACAAATTGCCAGAAGAAGCCACAAAACTTATTTCAACAAATCCTTTCGACAACAGCAAAGTTGAAATTTCAGTAAGTTATAATTTTTTTTTAAATAATACTAGTAGTAACACTGTAAGCATAACTAGTGTTCCCATTAACCACTCTCAGTAAGTTTAAAATGCTTGTGTTAGGAGTTTTGCACAAGCCGTTCATCTTGCCACTGTGTCAGTGGCACACATTGTCATTTCATTGAGCAATGTATGATTTAAAGCCTAAAGAGTCGCTGCGACAAAAATTTAAGGAAATTAATATATTAACTTTGGCCTCTCAATACATTTATGAAAATGTAATGTACGTATACAAAAATAAAAGTAGTTTTACAAAAATAAGTGATATTCATTCTGTAAATACTAGGAACAGACACAAGCTAGTAGTACCAGTTACTCGACTCCATCGAGTCAGTAATTCATTCTTGGGGCGATGTATACGCTTTTACAACAAAATTCCAGAAAATATACAAAATTTGACCTGCTCAAAGTTCAAAAACTTTATTAAACTAAGTTTGTATAAAAAGAGTTATTATAATATTAAAGAATTTATAGATGATAATAACCCCTGGAAATAAGGTGATCGCTACCAAGCTATTTCTAATTTGTTTTGTTGTTAATTTGTATAACATACATGATTGTAAGCTGTTATTTAAAAAAAAGTCCTGCTGGGTTTCTTGCTGGTTCTTCCCAGGACAGAGGTTTTTTTCGAACCAGTGGTAATTATACAAAAGAGTGACTTTCAATAAGTATTATTTATAATCTATATTGAATAAAAAAGTTTCTGTTCTGTTCTGTTTCTGTCAGTAGAATCAGTATGTTGGGACTGAAAGTGGTGTTAAGCAAGTCCCGAGCACATCATTGTCAGTAATGTCTGTAATCTGTATTCAGGTTGGGTCCAACGTGAGAACTTATTCTTGATAGCCGCTGAAGCTTTCGCGAGCACTTCAGACGCTGAGGGTGAGGGTGAGGCTAATGTCTGAGTGAGTAATGATGGGTGAGGTAAGGAGGGTGATGTCTGAGGGCCCGATGCGAATTGCCGCATCTCTACATTGGGGTGGTTTGGTCCATGGCTTTATATGGAGCAGCCATATGGGTCTGGGCTCGGCGGAAAGAACCAACACCTTTCTGAAGAAGCCCCAGAGGGCGATGGCCGTCAGAGTCGGACGATCTCCCATGAGGCGGCATGAGTTTTTGCGGAGTCGTCACTGTGATATGGAGGCAGAGTTCCTGGCGTCTATTTTGATTAGGTTGTCTATCTTCTTTTACGTAAGGCCTCAAGGTGTTTGACGTCCTAATGTCATAGTTAGCCCTACCTTCAGTTTTTGAATATTAATTTCAGTCAAGCACCTCAGTCCCCCCCGAGGCCATGGGTGCTGTAAAGCACCCGAGACGTCGGGAATTAAAAAGACAAATAAAACGCGATAAAATTCGTAAAAATTAGTTTTATTTAATCTCGATAAAAAAATTTAAAAAATAATTTTGGATCAATTACCAATTTTTTTTAATACAAATAAATTGCTTCATTAAAACCAATTTGTTCTGACGCCGGTGTTGAGCTTATGAAATATATTTTAATGCCTGGGAGAATTCATAAGATGCCTTAGGTATTTTTTGTGATATTTCCAAGGCTTTCGATAGTGTTCATCATGAGACGTTAATTAGGAAACTACAACATTATTAAAAAAAAACTGTACAAAAAGTGTTATTATAATATCAAGAAATACATGAATTAAAATAACCCCTGGGAATAAGGTGATCGCGACTATGCTGGTTCTATGAAAATTTATTTAAAAATTGTACGAACAAAATGATCGCTGCTGGGTTTTGTTGCTGGTTCTTCTCAGGACAGAGGTATATTCCGTATCATTGTAAACAAAAAATGACTCAATAAGTATTATGTAATAATCAATATTCAACAAAAAATCTACGTTTAACCAAATAAAAGCTATGGTGCTAAAGCCTTTTCGGGAACCGGCTTCTTCGGGAGGCTGAAAGTCGTCGAATCTGCATGCAAGACGATTCGTAATGACTCTCGAAAACAGCACGTTGACGCGGCTCAGAAGGGAAATCGGTCTGTAGTTCTTCAAGAGAGCGTTGTTGCCTTTCTTGAAGAACAAGACCACCGCACTTCTGGTCCACGCCTCCGGAGTAGTACCTCCATGAAGGATGGAATTAAAGAGCTTCTGAAGGACTTCAAGTACCGATTTTCCTCCAGCTTTCAGAAGCTCCGCTGTAATTCCATCCTCGCTCAGGGACTTGCCGTTTTTAAGTTGTTGGAGAGCCATTCCAATCTCGCTCAGACTGACGTCCGAGATATCATCGGAATAGTGTCGGTTAAGACTTGCTCTTGGATCGTTACTCACACTTGCGTGTGGCTCCAACGATGACGTGTACAGCTGCCCATAGAACCTCTCAATCTCACTCAAAATCTTAGGTGTCTCGGAAACGATGCTGCCACATTCGGTCTTCAGCTTCGATAGTTGGTACTTTTTGGCAGACAGATCTCTGGCAAAGACTTTGGAGCTCTGGTTCCGCTCAATCGCTTCTTCAATACGAGCAGTATTAAAGTTGAGTAAGTCCCGCCGCATGTATTTGGAGATTTGTCTGTTCAGTTGCCTGTATGCTATCAAATCTACTGAAGACTGCAGCGTCATATCTCCTCGTTTTTGTGTTCCTCTGCGGCGGGTCTTGCTAGCTCCGACCGCATGGATAGTTTCCACGAGCTTGTCATTTATATCGTCCACTTCATTGAAATCTTCTAGGCCCTGAAAACAATTTTGTAACTCGAGCTGAAAGGTTTCGGTACTCTGGATTTAGAGCACGAGGGGGACGTAGCGTTGACTTCATTAGACGACACCTCTCCAACTTAACGTTTAGGTTCAGTGTGCCTCTACCCATTCGGTGATCGCTACCAGTTTTACCCTCGCGATCACTGAGACTTCACTGAACAGTTGTCGTCTGGTCGTCATAATGAAATCAATCTCATTTTTTGTCGAACCGTCGGAGCTCGACCAGGTCCACTTCCTGTGGGGCGCTTCTGAAAGAAAGAGTTCATCATAAAGAGTCCCTCTTTCTCCATGAAGTCCCTAATTCAAATTTCCCTACTTTCAGCTCACCATTCTCTCTTGTGCCTAGTTTTGCGTTAAAGTCTCCCATTAACACCGTATAGCGGCTTTTGGAGGAATGCATAGCTCTAGAGATTTCCTCATACATTTCCTCCACCTTCTCTTGTATGACCTTCAGCGAATACCGTTTGGTGATTCTGAGTATAAGGTACGCAACCCTCGTCGACACACTCCCAATCTTTACAGCGTTGTTAACGAGAGACTTGTGGACGATAAGTCCGACACCTCCTTGGGACAGATGGTCGCCCTCCCGGTGATAGAACAAGTTGCCGGATTCGAGGATTACTAGTGTCCTCCCCCTCTATACGGACTTCGGAAAACATTGGCATTCTAACAGAATATCAATGTAAAATAGCAGCTTAATTGTGTAGTGTTTCGTATAGTGAGGGTAAAGAATCTGAAACCCTTTCTACTGGGAAAGAGGCATTCCATCTTAGTCCTCAGGGGTGACAACGCAGTTGAATTTTTATTCTTAATCAAGCACAGATGTAGATATCTATAGATCACAGCATCCACTTACCATCAGGTGGACTGTGAGCTCGTTTGTTACCCTTATTCTATAAACAATGATAACTCTCCATATAAATTAAGGACTTGGTCAAATTATGTTATCTCTTATGCCTCGACATTTTATTATAAAACATAATTATCATTTGCAGATAATATTCAGAAGGACTCGGCGTTTAAGTGAGATGATACATATTTACAATGTGCTATTTAAGCACATTATGAAGGATCTTCAACTGGTGAGGTTTGGTCGACAGCACTACAATGAGAAGGGCGCCATACAAATACCACAGCATAAACTTGAAGTTTGGCCCGGGTAAACCGAATAATTTAATTAATAAAATTATGATATTTCCTTAATATTTTTCCTTCTGCCCATAAAGTTTTACTGTTTCGCTGTTGGACATGGGCCTCTCCTGTTGTAGGGAGGATTTGTCTTCGTCACGCTTGGCCGACAGGTTGACTTGTGCTACCAGACGTCTGCACTGATGGTGATGCCGAGGAAACTACAAGGTTATATCGCCATCTAGCGGAAGACATGAGATGTTTTTGCAGTTTATCTTAGGCCCCTCTTACGACAGCAATGGGATAATTGATTCTCTTATGCTGGCACCACACAATTATATTTTTTCTTATTTATTCTACAATGAAACAATGCTTTGGAATGAAGCATAAAAACTTGAGGTCACCTCATAGTGATAGGTTAGAAAATCGAATCAAGTCTGATCCTTGCCTGCACCACTGAAATCCTAAAAGAAACAGTTTGTATGTATGATATTCACAAAACCAATAGCCACTATAAGCCCGTCTCTTGGCTGTTTTTATTTTATTATATTAATTTTATTACGATTTTTTTCCAAAGGACTAAGAGATGTTAAAGTTACAGCCTATATATCAACCTCTCATTTCTGAGAGGGTAATGCGCGTTTTGATATAAACCTCAAACATAATTTAGATAACTTTACACTAAATGTTTAAAATGTTAGATTTGTAATATTTCGTTTAAGCATTTTATAACTGTGTTACTATTAATTACTCAGGTATGTGACGGCAGTCGATGAATATGAAGGTGGACTTATGTTGACCCTTGATTCTACTCATCGCGTACTTCGTACACAAAGTGTTTTGTCATTTATAAAAGAAACTGTGCAGAGCGAAGGCGCCAACTGGAAGCGAGCCTTGTCTGATAGGCTTGTCGGGAGCTCAGTTATGACGACATATAATAAAAAATTGTTTCGGTAAGTAAAGAGTAAAATTAATATGTAATTGAAGAGACGAATGTAAGAGATTTTAAGAAAAAAATTTTTTTTCTTAGGGTGGACAGTATTGACGACACCATGAATCCGCGCTCAACATTTGAAAAGAATGAAAAAGGTCAACCTGTAAAGATAAGCTTCATTGACTACTACAAGAAAAATTATGGCATTGATATTATGGATTGGGATCAACCACTACTTATATCTAGGTGATTTATTTTTATTTTTCTAGAATAACATATTATATTAATAAAGATGGTACTGTGTTTTTTCTCTTTTCTCACACTCTTTTCTCTCACCAGACCGAACTCGTCGACAGGAAATACCAACAGTATTTCCTGTCGGCGAGTTCGGTCTGGTTGGTTTTCATAAATATATTAGTGGTCCTTCTGTAGTCGAAATTCGACCGTAATCTAATAATATAAAAAAAAAAGAAACGCTTTTTTGCTTAGAAAAAGGAACATTAGAAATTACACAAAATTTACAGTTCATTCGGTCGATCAGTTAGTAGTAATTTTCTTGGCAACATTTTAAAATTCTTTGGCTACAATCTCTACTTTGTGCGACTGTTTGACCATAGACTAGTAAGTGTTTGATAATTGATTTTCATATGGCCAATATTAAGAATGTAAGCAATGGATGTTTTATTTTATTTTATGTATCTGTAACATAATATGTATTATATAAATTTTAGCTTTCTTTACTCCTTCATAAAAACTTTAACTATGCCAAATCTCACACTCCGTGCGCACAATATACTTAAAATTGTTGTTTAACTGCAAACATACAAAAATAACACAAATATTATAAAAAAATATACACCGTGTAGTGGCGGTGTAAGAATATCCAATACCCCATATCATCCTGTGGGTGTCGCGTAAGAGGCGACGAAGGGAAACAAATCAGAAGATTGGCAGTAGTGTCATAAAAAAATACTGCATAAGCCAACCCGCTTGGCAAGTGTGGCAATTATGGCAAATATCCCCCCTATGAGTCAATCTATGGGGGAGGCCTATGTTCAGTAGTGGACTTTAATATGCTGTAGCAGTAATGGTATACAAATATTTTATTTATCTGGCTATCAGGTTTTGGCCGGCTTCAACTAAATATAGCTGATTGCGGTTGGTTGGAAACTAGGTCTAGTAAAGTTGGAATAATAATTAAAATAACTACAACCTCTGTTGAATTTGTCAGGGTATGCAGTGTTAAGCACTGCAGGCTTTAGTTCTAATAAATATAAGTTTGTTTAGTACTCTTGTTGTAACATAAATGTAAGTAAATTACATTTTTTTTTATTTCTTACTCAATAGAGAAACAAAGCGCATGCCGGGATCCGAAGAGCCCACAGATTTTATGATCTGCTTAATACCTGAGTTATGCCAACTTACTGGTTTGACTGATGATCAGCGAAGTAATTTCCGTCTTATGAAAGATGTCGCCACCTACACTCGGATTACACCTAATCAGCGACATGCTGCTTTCAAAAAGGTAAAGCATTCACACAAACTGGAATAGATTAAGTTCCTTTCTGCTTACAAACATAAACAAATTATTTCCTATCATATTAGCTATAACAAGCATAGTAGTAGTGGTTTAAAAGAATCCACTGCCCCATGTCATACTATGGTTATCGTAAGAGGCGACAGAGGAAAACTTAAACATGAGATGAGCAGCAGTAACTACCTGATAACATCTCAAAATAATAAAAACTTGCGGCTGCGAACGCGCCTGCCAAGCGTAGCAACTATGGCAAATAACCCCCACTTGAGTAATTTTATGGAGAAGGACTATTCAGCAGTAGATTTTTATTATATTTATTTATTTATTAATAAATAAAATCGCAATATTTTATCTATAATATAAAATGAATCGCTGAATGTGTTGCTAAGCGCAAATCTCGAGAGCAGCTGAACCGATTTCGCTAATTCTTTTTTTATAATATTCTTTAAAGTACGAAGACGGTTCTTACGGAGAGAAAAATTTTAAAAATTGCCTGAATAAGTCTAAAAGCAACACTTTTCTATATTCCCATACAAAAGATTCGTAATAATACTTAAAAGTCAATTTGAACTTTAATACCATACTATAAAGTTTAAGTGTTAGTGGAGGGGTTCCGGGAAGGCAAAACAATTGAGTGACGTTAGTATCGTATAAATATTAACGTCAAGATTTGTCAATATTTATACACACTGGCAGATAGCTGATGTTATAAGGAGTAACTTGGACTGCTTTTATTTTAGGGTTCCGCGAAAAATAACTCCACGCAGGCGAAGTCGCGGGGAACAGCTAGTTTATTAATAAATTTAAACTACTTATCTACATTATATACAATTTAAATTACCTATTTTAAACTACCTATCTTAATTACATCATTTAATTTCTTCAGTTTGACTCTGTCTATGTATCGTATATAAAAATCACAAAAATGTCTCTATTGTTGTTATAATGATACCAAATTTGTAACCAGAGACAACAAAACACGAAAATTGAAATAATACAATACATAGAGTAATTTTAAGTAGCAGCTGTTTGGCATACTGTTTAAAGTATCAAAAGAAATTTAGTTCTGATCTAATGATTGTAAATGTAACTTCTAATTTGTTTTCTTACTGTTCCTTTATATTTTCAGTACATCCAAAATGTCCTTGAAAACGAAACAGCAAGAAATCGCTTAGCGGGATGGGGTCTCAGCATTGCTCCAGAGACCATAAACATTACGGCTAGGACTTTGCCACCAGAGACATTATACTTTGGGAATGACGTTAAAGTACCTGGGAAACCAAATGCAGAGTGGAATGGCGAAGTATCGAAAAATGCGGTGATGCAAGCCGTGGATATACTCCGATGGGTTATACTATTCACGGACAGGGATAAAAATGTTACTACAGTAAGTGGCTACTAATATATATTATGTATTATGTTACACTAAAAAATGTAAAGTAAATGCTATGTACTTCTTTTTTTGGTTATTTCTTAATAAATAGGCTTATGAAACAGGGACGGCGATATAAGTTAAATGTTTTTTTTATATCATAAGGGTGACAAACGAGCACACAGGCCACCTGATGGTAAGTGGTTGCTGTGGTCCATAGACATCTACATCTATCCTCGATTACTAATCAAAATTCAGATTTGTTGTCACCTGTGAGGACTAAGATGGAATGCCTCGTTTCCAGTAAAAAGGATCTCCGGTTCTCTATGCTCGCCCTACGAAACACAGCGGCGTTCAGCTGCTATTTTATAATGGTATTCTGTGAGAGTGTGGTTCAGTATGCCCAGACAGATATGATACCCTTATTGTTTCTTGTATTGTAGTGGTGGCGGCTAAAGAAGATCCATTGTTCCACTACATCATGTAACTGTTGTAAGAGGCTACTATGGGAAATCCCAAGATATTGATTTCTTATATTCAATTATAAAGGATAAAAAGGACAATGTTTGAGATTTTTTTCAATTAATTTTTTGTCACTATTTGCCTACATTACTTATTCTGAACCTTCTCTGCAAATTTGGCAGGTTATTGCAAAATAAGCCTGTTTATAGTATATAAAAATAGTACTTCCATCCCGGCCGAATACTTTTGCCTAATATTCGGCTATTCGGCCAGGAAGCCCGCAAAAGTGGCCGAATATACTATACCTTGCGAGTTTACTAGCAGTTCCTTTCATTATTACAAAGTTATAAAATAATATACAAGAAAATAATAAATGAATGTGTTATGTACACTAATATAAATTTTCAGGAGTTCCTAGATACATTAAAGCGTTGCTGTCGGCCAATGGGTATCAATGTATCTAGCCCAGAATTGATACGTCTACCCAACGACCGCACAGACTCATATGTGATGGCTTTGAAGAAATGTATCATGTCGAATCTTCAGTTAGTCGTGGCAATCTGTCCGACGTCACGTGACGACCGTTATGCCGCTATCAAGAAGATATGCTGTGTTGATTACCCTGTGCCCTCTCAGGTAAGCTATATTATTAAGATGTTTTACACAATTATGGGTGACAAATGAGCACATAGTCCACCTGAAGGCAAGGGACGGCTTTGGCGAATAGACACCTGAATTTCTCCTTGATTAAAAATTGAAATGCTGATTGCATTTTTATTCTTGTGAGCCGGAGACTACGCCAGTTCTCGACACCCCGTACTAAAACACAGTAACACTATTTCTCTATCTCTATCTGGTATTCTGTGAGGGTGTGGGCATTCCTCAGTTGAGCCATCCCATTTGTGCTGCAACCAAAATTTTCCTGTAGTGGGCTTCTATTATAATTTTTTCGCCGACTTTTTCTTAAATTTAATTTTAAATAAGGTAGATTGATGTACACAGACTGTACAAAAATCCATAACATTAGGTGATGAAAGAATAAAATAAATTAAATTGTGAGCATTTTTAATACAACCAATATAACTGCAGTTTAGAGCATTTAAATACGATAAAATAAAAATAAAAATAGTTTTATTAAATATGTAGTGATTGCGTAAATAATATGTACAAAAAATCAAAACGAGGAATTTATTTTTGTAGGTGATTAATGCACGAACTATTATGAACAGCCAAAAAATTCGTGCCATCACTCAAAAGATTCTACTTCAAATTAACTGCAAGTTAGGCGGTACTCTATGGAACATCAGTATACCTATGAAATCCGCCATGATTATTGGCATTGACTCTTATCATGATGCAAGCCGAAAAAAGCATAGTGTTTGTGGTGAGTATTTTTAAATATTTTTATAACATTTAACTTTATATTGTTTTTGCTATTTTAGTGTTCTAAAACGTTTTGGCCTTTTAGTTAAAAATTCTAACACTCCTTCCTAAGTGCATAGAGAACATAATAATTATCAGCCACTGACCTCTATACACGTATGCTGGACTGGCTAAACACCGTGATACAATGAGGCGATTTGATAGCAGAAGTGATCATCCACGGAACTAATAATAGAGATAGGACAGTCTTACATAATATATCGATAGTAATTCTATACCCAGGCCTACCATTCTCTTTATGTAAATATATTGCCGTACAATAAATAAATGTATCAATTAATACTCATGTGTCAATCACAAACTTTATTCCTCATATAAAACAAAAATCGACACTGCGTTAGTCTATCTACATTTTTCTTCGTAACTATAGAACGGGTTTTGTTCCGGGTATCATCGTTGGGTGTGTATGGTTCATTCGAGAGGTTTAAAAAAGTCCAATGAGTAGGAAAAACTAAGATATCTAAAATATAAAAATAAATTATAATTTTGTAAATAATTTATTGTTAACTATTTAGTCCTCGTAATAGAAAAAACAGTTAGCTGCCAACATTACGCCTATTTCGACAATATCTATAGGTACAATTAGAATTTTATAAACTTAAAAATACATCAAAGAATACCATACCACAAATCATTGACGTCATAATCAATCTGCTTCAGCCAATTCACAAGTTTTATGCTTTTTAGTCACAGTTTTAGTAAAGAGCCAGTTGAAAATCTGTAAATTAATAAATATTTGATAATTATCTGTTGTCAGCTACTTTGTAAACATATAGGTAGAAAAAACATTGATAAGTATTATCAACAAAAAACACGTCAACCAACCCTAATGAATTTTATTGTTTATCAAAAGTAGGTAATTTAAAGCCTATTTACTAAGATAAGTGACAGATTTTTAAGAGCCCTATATTATCGAGTAGTTTTAATTTTTTTTAATATAAACTGTATCTTCCCTTACCGTGAAACCTGGCAACTTTGCCATTTTTGGAAAGCCTTAAAAGCTTAGGGCCAATTTTCCAACATAAAAAGTACTCTCAGACTGGGCGTCAATATTAAAAGTGACACTATATTCTTCATAGATTTGGTATTTATTAGTGATTTAAACAAATACTAACATTAAATAGACAAAATACTCAAAAATATAAAATGGCAAAGTTAACCACACTTTGTGGCAACTTTGCCATCAGGGTATATAATGAAAATAATAGGATTTGATTTCAAGATTGAAAGTAAGTTTACCTCATAATATTAAACACAACACTCCAGAGTTATGATTTTCTACTTTAATTGTGTTGCAAATAGCAAAGTTGCACTCCCATTTTTTCATACAAACTTGAAAATGTGTGTCGGGGTTGTCAAAAATCATTGATTACGTACTTTACTTAATTTTTGAAGTAAAATTTCTTAATCAAAGTAGTGAAGAAATTTAGTACGGTTTTAAAAAAAGTCGGGTTTTTTGCTTAAGCCTTATTTAACCTACTTATGTATAATATAAAATAAAAGCAAAATGATATTTCGTAAAGAAGTTTCACTTCGTACATGTGTACACAATTACAAGCACTTTTTTTAATTTAAATCATGTCACAATAATTTCTTAGCCAAAATCTAAAATTATATCAAACAAAAATATTCACGTCTAAAATTAAAAAATTAATTGGTGCAATAATAATCGTAAATTATTATAGTAAAGATCAAAAATAAAGCTTGTCACAATCATTTTTAACTAGTATTAGTTTTTTTTTTATTAGTCGTCATTATCATTTTATTACGGTAATCAGGTAAAAAGAAATTGTAATAAACCTAAATATTGTTTTCCCCCAGAGAGCAAAACATTCCTAATCTTTAAAAACGGACATTGTTTTTAATGATTATGAATGTTTTGCTATTGTGTGTGAGTGATTGACAACTCATTTGGTAAAATCGGTCTAAAATGTTGCTGCGGTAAAACATCTATACAAACATACATACATAAAATGTTGTCATAGAATCCTTTCTTTGAATCGCCCTAATCGGTTAAAATATAGGTTGAAAGTGACAACCTTTGGTTGTAGCAAAACATTGCAAATTAACTGTCACATTGTGGCATCACTAGTATGGTAGCTTTGCTAAGTTACTTTTATAGATAAATATTAAGGCGCATGGTTGAGCAAAATGTCTAGTTTAGTCGTTATTTGTGCGGTTTTTAGGAGCTACATACTTTTTATTAAAAAGATATATCAACTACTAAAACACATTATATTTCTACATAATCTTGATTCCATAAGAGTCATATCCATTTATTTTTTAAAAGATATAAATATTAAAATAATCTCTTTACAACGAAACCACATAAATGTGAAATAATTATTGATAACATGCATCTCCTCGTAAAGTAAGCATTATTTTATTTTGCGATTGACACTAATGAATAGGCAATTTATTAATGAACATTTCTATCATAATTATTTTTTTCAAAAGACCAAAATTTGATTTAATAAGAAATTATTTTAAAAACTGGGCGTATTCACTGCCCACGGAGTTGCTGGAGTCAGTGAGCGCTAAGCTCTTGAAGGTGAAACTCGTGTCGTTAGTCACGGCGTCGGCCAGCGCACATGCTCGCTCACGTCATCTTATCAGGCGGTAATATTATTATTACTTATTAGGTTATTTATAAGTAGTATTATTTGTTTGTTTTGGGTATAATTTTTCGTATTAGTTATACATATATTTGTTGTGTTTTTTACTGCGCGATGAAGCTTTTTGTGTGTATTTTTTTTGAAGTAAATGCAAATAAAAAAATGAAGCACCATTAGCATGTAAGGTTCGAATCCATAATTAACATTTCGACAAATATTGTTATTTACACTAAAAAGCTAATTCAATATTATCAGTATAGTATACAGTTAAAAATAATCCTAATACCTAATCACAATATCTTAGTAGGTATAGTAATTCGGTAAAAAGTATCTAAGTAGGTATTAATATACCTACCCAGTATAACTAATCACAATAGCTACGTAGGTATTATGATTAGATAAAAGGTACTTATCTAAATAGTTACCTACTTTTACTAAGTAGGTACTAATACCTACCCGGCCATCATTTGATTACAACCCAAAAATCCCTATAACTAAACTGACCATTTATTTTTTAACTCAAAACGGGACATGGTCTTATTTATACTCTAAAAACTATAACTTTATACAATTAGTGTTCACTATAATATTATATTCGGTATAGACGGTAATTATTAAATGCAACATATTTTTTTAATTATTAATTACATTTGTCAGTAGAACAAATTTGCTTTAATAAAGTTGGTGATGATTTTAAATAAGAATAAAATTCTGGGCAAGTTTTTTATTGTTACCTTTGTTATCAACATCGCCTTTAGAACTGGAACCGTAAGTGTTTTTTTCAGACGTCCACAATTTATTCAAAATAGAAAAATACTCTTTCTACTGGAGCATTTGTATACTAGGTAGACATAAAATATATTCGATGAAAAAAAATTATGTTGAAGATTGTTGTGCGAAAGACTTTGAATACTTCCATCCAACGGGTTACGGGATAATTTTGTGTCCCGGAGCCTTATTTGGGGACAATGGGACAGGTGACCGAGAACAGGGACAGTCCCGTTCAAAACGGGACGTATGGTCACTTTACCTATAACCCTTATACTTCTTGTTGATTTTTATATTACCTTTATTAAAGTTACCCTTATGTATAAATAAATATATAATTACGTATGTAGAAATAAAATTGAATAAAAATAAAAACAGACATGTTTTTTTCAGCCAGCATAAGTAATAAGCAGGCTAAGTTACAAGGTGCTCAGTTCAAAAATTTGTAGGTAGGTATGTTACTTTTCAATATGTGACACGTAAAAATTAACAATAATCAAAAACACGTCTGCGAATCATCCTATTTATTTATTTATTCTTTATTGCACCAAATATTTGTACAAAAGGCGAGCTATCTATCTATTTACCTATAGTGAGTAGGTATCTTTTAAACTCGCAATTTTCAATGCTTCATTTTTAATAGCTCTCGTCCCTCGACCTCCGCACAGAGTGGACGTATCGAAACTTGCAGAATATTATTTTATTTTAAAATTAAAATCCACGTCTTAAATAGTCAAAGTGATAATATTACATACCAGGAGTCTATGAGCAGAGCGAAACCAACGCAACGGTAGCGCGTGAGTAAGACAGATAATTAAAAAAACGAGATAATCATAATCTTATTGCATCTTCTAAAATCAGACCCAACCCATTAACTAATGAAAACGCTGGACAGACTTTAAGTGATTAATACGCCCACTTTGTTTCCTTGCTCACTCGCACCTGCACTCGTTTTTTCCTACGATTGCACTGCCCGAATCAATTACCGACGGCAAATTTAGGCCTAAACAGAATATTGCGCTTCGAAAAAATGCCGCTTCTTAAATCTCCGAACACTGGAACTTCCATTAATACACAGTATAACTCGGAACCTTCCCTTAATACATCCTTTGTTGATGATGAGGAACAGGTTACAAATACAAAGGTAACCAGGAGACAAAAAAAGAAGTGTATGAAATCTCCCATACATGGGGATATTGTAAACAAGGTCGATAGCCCCGAAAAATGTATGAGTGAAATTAAGGAAATGTTTAAAACGCTCCAATCTCAACAAACTGCAAAATTCTTTGCTCTCGATTCGGCCATCCAAACTGTTGTTCAACAAAACCAGGACATTCAAAAATCGGTTGATTTCATGTCAAAACAGTACGATGAATTGCTACAACGTATGATTGTGCTCGTGCAAGAAAATCTCCACTACAAGAAATATGTTCAAGAATTAGAAAACAAACTTGATTATCTTGAAAAGTTTTCTCGTTCAAAAACCTTAGAAATGCGTAATATCCCTAAGCAAGACAATGAGAACCGCCAAACTTTATTAGATATCTCAAAAAAGTTGGTTCCATCATTCAGTTAGAACCTAATTTACAAGACGCGGAAATAAGAGATATATATCGTACTAAAACACAAACTATCGTCATCGATTACATGTCAACAAGTCGTAAAGAAGATTTTCTTAAAAAAATTAAGGAATACAATAAAACAAAGAAGGAAAAAAATGAACGTCAACTAAATACGTTGAACATATTTATAAACGGGGTGCAAAAAAATATTTATGTTACAGAATTTTTGACATCCAAAGCCAGGCGTTTACACTACTTAGCAAGAGAGTTACATAAGTCGAAAAAGATTGTTGGTTGTTGGACGGCATTTGGAAAGGTGTACGCACGTAAAGAAGAAGGAAAACCTGCTATAAGAATCGAAAAAGAAGAAGACTTACAAGATTAATTAAAGGACTAACTTTAATTTTTCTACTAATTTTTTATATATATACCACATTTAAATATTATAGTAAGCGCTTACACTATTTAATACAAACTCATAATATCCTCATACCATGTCACACACAAAAATCTTCTCTTTTGTTTATTAAGCTGAAAGCACATTAATAAAAAATACATTTGTATGCTACTTTTATGTATTTATCGAGCAATAGTACAAGAAGTGAATAATTACAATCAAAAATACATAGTGATTATTGTCTATAGTATACATAATATCATACTTGAACTTAAATTGCGAATCACATACCCTACTTTTACTACATTATTTTTAATTTTACTACATTTTTCAATTACATTTGAATTTAAACACACTTCTATTCGCCCATTCCTTGTAAATAATAAGCGTATAATTTTCAGAATTAAACAAAATATTAACAACATAAATGCTGCTCCTCTATATCCTATATCTTTAAATAATATTATCATCATACATAAAACTTTCAAAATAAGTATTTTTCGTTGCCTTATAAGATATAAATTTTTGTGGTTTCTACGTTCCGTAATATATATAGCTTTTATCTTCAAGCATATCAGCAAGCTTTTACATTCAGAATTTAATAATGACAATCGATGTGAATCCTATCTCAATCTTTTGGCGTCTCATGGCCTTATTCCAGCACATAATCTACGCACACACTCCCACACCTGTCTTGATCACTTTTTAATAAAATCTAAAGGGAAGGCATAAAAACATCAATTACAGATCACTTTACTACCATCCTTTACTTAGATACTAATTTAATAACTAGCCCAAGGCCCAAAACAATAAACAAAATAGATTACAATTCTTTAGCAAAAATGATTAAATATATTGATTTTAGTCCAATTTTTAATACAACAGATGTAAATTTTGCAGCTAATTATTTAATCGATACCTTAAGTAACGTCATAAAAACCAACACCAAAACTATTAAAATTTCTAATCGTAAACGAATCTTAAAACCATGGATAACACCAGGACTTTTGAAATGTATGAGAAACAGGGACAAACTACATAAAAAATTTAAAAACAATATGGAAAATGAAGTTTTAAAAGTAACATATAAAAGATATAGGAATTACTGCAATAATATACTAAGGAGACTTAAAACGGAATACGAGAAAGCTGAATTGCAAAAGGCAAAAATGAATAATAAAAAATTATGGGAAACGATCAAAATTATAACAAACACCAAAAAACAAATAGTGCCCCCATCTGAGTTAATAAATATTGCAAACCCAATAGATGCTGTAAACACGGCAAACCAGTTCTTTGTTAATATTGGTAAGACATTAGCTGAAAAAATATTGAATAATGATCCTAACTTAACCTCTACCAGCAATTATAACTCTACTCCTTCATTGTTTGTACTCCTACCAACTACAGAATCCGAAGTACTAGGTATAATTTCGAACTTAAAATCCGATTACGCAGTAGGCCTTGATAATATATCAACAAGTTTATAAAGACCTTCAAGAATATATTAGTGGGTGGGCCATTACTTACATCTGTAATCTTTCCTGTACAAGAGCTGTCTTTCCCATGGCGTTTAAAAAATCACTGATCCATCCCATCTTCAAAGCTGGCGACAGAAACTGTGTCTGTAACTACAGGCCAATATCCATTCTTCCAGCTTTGTCCAAAATTATTGAGCAACATCAGATTGATAAAATACTTAGAAACAAACGGACTAATATCTTGTAACCAATTTGGGTTTAGGACGGGCAAATCCGCTGAAGCTGCCATTCATAACGTAACCAATTTTGTTGTCACCAAGTTGGATGCTAGGAAAAAAGTACTGATCATCTTCCTTGATCTAGCCAAAGCGTTTGACACAGTCTCATTGCCCATACTGATAAAAAGCTAGAAAGTTTGGCATCCGTGATCTCCAGCTAAAATTTTTCTGGGATTATTTGCAGAAAAGAACTCAGTGTTTCAAAGTGCAAGACTATGTGAGTAAAGAGTTGCCTGTTAGTTTTGGTGTACCACAAGGCAGTATACTAGGCCCTACGCTCTTTTTAACTTACATAAATAACTTATGCAATCTTAATCTTCCAAATGGACAAATATTTACCTTTGCTGATGACACGGCACTTCTCTTTGATGGTGATTCTTGGCCCCAGATATTTAGTAATGTTCAAAAAGGATTAAATATTGTTGTGAACTTGCCAAACAAGAACGTACTTACCTTAAATATTGAAAAGACTAATTTTTTAACTTTTTCCATCAGAGCACATGATCAGCCTTCACTGGATCACCTCCATCTAAAAGTACACTCCTGTTTTGCCTGTAACTCTTACCTTATCAACTCTCAGACTGCCTCAGACTCGATTATGCATTGTAGTTGTCCAACTATCGAGAAATCTGAGTACGGTAAATATCTTGGTGTTATAATAGATAACAACGTTTGAAAAACATACAGCTACACTGGCATCTAGATTGAGAAAGTTGATTTATGTTTTTAAAAACCTTAGAAATGCTTCGGATACAAAAGTGATCAAAACTGTTTATTTTGCTTTTGTGCAATCTCTTTTGCTGTACGGTATAACTTCATGGGGTGGTGCAGCGAAAACCCGTCTTATAGGGTTGGAACGCACGCAAAGAGCCATTCTAAAAGTTGGGTTTTCATTGCCATTTTTATTTCCAACGGCTGAACTATACAAACGTTGCAGGGTACTTACTGTTAGGCAAATGTTTATTTTACAAACTATTCTAAAAAAACATTCTTCGCTACCGTACAATAGCATGTCTTCTCCAATCTCGGGAAGAGGTAGGATAGTTTGTAAAAGTCAAAAATGTAATACAAATTTTTCTCGTAAATTCTTCTGTTATCTTGGTAGTCTTCTTTACAACAGGATAAATAAGGCTATTCCAATATATTGTATGAATAAATATTCCTTAAAAACAAGAGTAACGGAATGGCTTTTGGGCTTAAACTACACCGAAACAGAATCCCTAGTAACTCCTATTATTTAAAATATTATACAAACATACACACATATATATACACACACACACACATACACACACACACACACACACACACACACACAGCGCTCACGTGTAAATTAGTTTTTAATTTTTAAAATTGTTTTTTATTTGTTTTTTTTTTATTCTTTCTCGTTTATTGTAACTTTAATTACAGAAATTGAAATTACAAATCGAAGTGTACTAAAGTTAAAGGTATGTTGATAAATGTTACATTAAGGGACGAGAGTCTGGTGATTAGTCATACAGGTATTTCCTAGTACTAACACCAGGCTCTCACAAATTAACATGGTTATACCTCCAATATTATTAAAAGGCAATGTAAACTTGTGAGAGCAAATAAAGTAAACATTATTATTATATTATTATTATTATTATATTATTAATATATAATTAATTATTAAATTTCATATATATGAGAATACATAATTCTAATATAATGCAACTAATATACCGAATAAAATAAAATTAAAATACATTTATCGTTGTACGCCGAGTGTATTTCTATAAAATAGTTTATTGATGTTGAAAAAATAATACTACGTTCGTACTTACTTACTTACTTACTTGGCGTCTTGCTCTTGCATATTTCTTACGCGATATATTGTAGCGAGAGTCGGCGAACCGAATGCTCAAGGTCGTTCGCTAGGAGTAGCCCCTTAAGGACCACCATGTTAAAAATATTACCTTTTTTGATTTTTTTTCAAAGTTTTAGATACCTACATTCTGTATTATAAACTAAAATCGACAAAAGTACTGGACCACAGAACAAAGATGTTATGTCTCAGATATAAAATGACAAAATTAACTCTCACGATGCCATATCGGGAACAATGCTGTTAATTAGTTATTAAATTTTCATCCCAAGAATTGCATATCTTGAAAAACGTAACGCTGTCCGTGTTAATCGTAATTTTGTAACCTGTACATCCTTGATGGCAAAGTTAACATCCATTGGTAAAGTTGCCAGAAGGACATTATTATTATTTAAATTTATTTTATTTGATGTTCATGTATTTTGCTTCATACTACTAAATACCTAAGCGTTAAATACTGATACAGATATCACTGCTGAAAATTGTGCAGTTTTTAAACAAACAGCGTTTGTTTAAAATCAGAGAACCCCGGGTATGGACAAAAATAAATATTGTTTATGCCTGGGATTGATTTTGTAATGAGATACGATTATCTGTATTTCTACAAAAGATAATATTCTCTGAATTAAAATGTTGACGTGCTATTTTCATTGCGCCTCCCTTTCCGTTTAAATAAAATTTGGAGAAATTTCGATGGAACCCCTTCCCCATTTTGAACTAATATATGTAATAATAGTAATTAATGGATTCTCACTGACAATGATAAATTTGTATTTTCATCTTTAGTATATCATGTAACAATATTGCATTTCAGCTTTCATAGCATCCTACAATCAAACAATGACACATTGGTATTCCAAGGCGGTGTTTCAAGAGCGAGGGCAGGAGATTGTTGACAGCCTCAAGTCTTGCTTAGTAGATTCGCTAAAGCATTACCTGCGTGTTAATGGTAGACTGCCTGACAGAATTATTATTTACAGGTTAGTTGCCATATGTTTTGTATTAGCACAATGTAGTATATAAAATAACAAAAATACGATGGTGACACTGAAAGTTCTTAGAAAATCAAAAACTGAACAAACTAGCAAGTTATTAGTTCTATTATATCTTTTCAAAATAGTGTCCATTTACATCAATACATCGCTGCATCCGATGGAATCACTGAGAAAAGCACTTTACCCACTCGTTCATAGGGGTTTCTTCGACGTTTCGACTTTTGAAACGCCGCCACTGCTTCCTCGGCGTCTATAAAACATTTTCGGAAATAAATAAAAATCGCAAGGTTGTGTCTATAGGGCAGGTGACCCAGTAATTCCACGTCTGCCGTCTCCAAGTAGTCGATTGTTTGCTTGGCGGTGTGCGACGATGCGTTGTCGTGGCGAAGGAGGATCAACTGCGAGGTCGTTTCTCTCGAACTTTTCCCAAGACAAGTGGCAAACAATTGTTTGTGTACCACTCTGCAGTAACTGTTTTTCGATCCTCTAAAACAATTGTTGCGTAATGACCTGTCCCTCCGAAGAACGAGGTCACCATATTTTTGCCACGCTTCTAGCTCTCTTCACTTTAGTTGGCAACTCCTTGGAAGGAAACACCCAGATAGCAGACTGTCTCTTAGTTTTAGGATCGTAACAATAAATTCGGCTTTCGTCACGCATAAGTATGTCGAACACATCATTTGAGTCACCTCCTACGTTTAAACTCATTAAACCAGTTGTAAACAGTGGCATGAGATGGGGCTTCATCGTGAAAGACCAATCGAAGTCTATCATATCTTTCTTGTTGACTTAAATAACATCGAAAGTCATAAAAATTATTCTACGAAAATTTTCTCGCGTTAAAATCATGATGACGTGACACAGACAATTTTCAATTTGCCGCCAATCGTAAACAAATGACAAATTAATAAAATACATACACAAGAATATTTGCAGTTCCATTTTCAAAATTTTAACTTATTTTTTTATTATATCGTTTACAAGTGGCCAGTTTTAAAAACTTTCACTGTCACCCTCGTATAGTTGATAAAAATAACCTGAATGGATTTTTGTTCTATTATACATCAATTAAATTCTAGAAATATGGCTATTAAATTTCTTTGCCTTTATTCCTGTGAGAAAAATATATTACTTATGTATTACAAATGTGTATATGTTGCGCTTTTGCTAATTAATTTAATTCATTACAGTCTAAACTCCTCCCCAATGCATTGACTCATGGCATATTTGGCACGCTTAGCAGGCGGGTTGGCAATTGCAGTTTTTTTATGATTTTGAGTGACTTTTAGGACAATGCTGCTGCCCATCTCTTGTTACAATTTCCATCTGTTTTCTCCTACACCAATAAGATAATAGGGAGTAGTGGATTATTTTACACTACACGGCTAATTAACACTTAATTATCTTTATAAATACAGGGATGGTGTTGGCGATGGTCAGCTAAAACTCCTGCAGCAGTATGAGATACCTCAGATGCAGATATGCTTTTCCCTCCTTGGGACAACCTACAAACCGACACTTACTTATGTCGTGGTACAAAAGCGTATAAACACCAGAATTTTCTTGAAAGCTAATAAAGGCTTTGAAAACCCGAACCCCGGTACTGTTGTCGATCACGCAATTACGAGAAGAGATTGGTAAGTAATTACTTTTTACTTGTTGAAAATTTAGTTTAGAAGTTTTTTAAAGCATCATTTAAAAAAATACTTATAATTTGTTATTTTTGTCTAATAGTAAGTAAGTTATCTATTTTATGTCTGATAGTAAGTTGCATGAACAATTCTCACTCTTAAAAAGTTGTTACTTAGGTACATACAATTAGATCATGAATAGGGCTTCTTCTGGGTTTTCTCTGTATGATGGCAATATAGAATTAATATTTACATTTGAATTTTTCCAGGTATGATTTCTTGATTGTGTCCCAGAAAGTCAATCAGGGTACAGTCACACCAACACATTATGTGGTGGTACACGATGACAGTGGAATGACACCCGACCAATGCCAGCGGCTCACATACAAAATGTGCCATTTGTACTACAATTGGCCGGGGACTGTACGAGTCCCGGCTCCGTGCCAGTACGCCCATAAACTTGCATATTTGGTGGGCCAGAACATACACCAACAACCATCGGAGGCTCTTACTGATAAACTGTTCTTCTTATAAATTTTAATTATGTATCAAATGTCTTCTACGTGCATAAAATATAAAGTAATAAAATCGTTGATAGTATTACAATGACAAAATAAAAATTTAAGCAGGCAAAATCGGTCAATTATAATAGTTAAGTTCAATAATATTGATTAAAATTATCTTATTTCGTTAGTGAAAGTGAATCTTAATATACACTGTTTTGTTAAAGAACTGGTATAACAGACATCAAACAAGTGTTTTGTTAAAAGCCTAAAACTGTTTTTTATACATTTATTACTCCCAAAATATGAATGTCATAATAAATAATAAAAAATACTGTTAATATATTATATATTCTGACAGTTGTTCAGGATTTGTTCATAGATATTGCAGTGTGCTCTTGAGAATTGATTTTGTCCTTAAATTTCAAATAAAAATATTGGAAACTTAATGATCTACTTTCTTATAAAGTAGCTTTAATTAGATTGTTTATTACGTATACAGTGAAAAAAAAATTATTATAATTAACCATTTTACAAAATGTGACTGATTAACACAATACAAATCAATTAACGTCTATAGTCTGCTAGGACGAAGTTAAGGAGTTAAATGCTTAATAAGATGTGTTCGTGGTTTACTTTGTGTTTTATGTTGTTAAAATATTAGCATTAAAATTAGTCATAGTTTTTGTTACTTTGTTGAAATCCTAAAACGATTGATTGTGAGTATGATAATCCTTGATTATAAATTTATAATAAGAATCTATTTTGTGATTTAGGGTTTATAATAAATACTACAATGTAGGTGAGTTTCTATTCAGAGTACAATACTTAATGGGAAAAAATGTCTGTCTAGACATTACAGTCCGTTAATAATTGATGCAAGTATATAGCTCTATTTTTGTACTTTTTTGTTGAATACTTGTGTGTGTGTGTGAAATTTGTGAATATGCCGTATGCGGTATTATAATGATGTTCTTTTGGTCAATTTGGACTACGGCTACCTTTTAAAAAAGTAAACTTATAAAAATATCCAGGAGGCGTTTAGTGTATACAAACATATTCCTCTGTTTTCTCTCTAGATAATGATGAAACAAAATATATGTTTTTTTTTTCAATACAATCTATATATATATATATATATATATATATATATATATATATATATATATATATATATATATAATATTGTCAAACGCAGTTGACAATATCCTAGAGTATTCAGAAGTGCTCTAAATGGTCCTTTAGAACTTCATTAATTTCGACTGATATGAGTTTGAACGTTATCAGTTAAATATGCGGGTACTTTTCATCCTTCTGTGTTATATTGTGAGTACTATTATATATATTAAGGTGTCTTAAGTTGGTTCCGTGGAGATTGGAATAAAAGACAACAGCAAAGTTAGGAAAAGTTAGAAAATTTAATTTGGGTATTTGCCCCTTATATGTAAGCTTTTGTTCAATTCTAATATACTTATTGCATTATATTTGAAAGAAATACTCAACGAATTTTATTTCAAGGTGGGTTTCTTTTTCTTTTTACTGCCGCAAACTCAATACAATGCAACCACTTTCGTATTAGAAATTAATTGTTAGAGGTTGTAGAAATTACAAACTTAGAGGCATTTTATCTTGGTCCCCAGTGGCCTCTTGTTTGGAACCGATCACAAGCAGATGGGATTTGATTTTATTGTAACTATGTGATACAGAAAAGGTTATTAGTAATACGATAGAATACTTATAGTACGATGTACCGTAGGATCACTCCGTAAAAACATTTTAATGAATAGCGACACTTATTAAAAACTTATTAAAGTGCAATTTAGCTCGCAAATCGTTGTCTAATATTTTGTTCACCTTTAAGGTGCCTCTCTTTCTATAGCATAATTATCACTTCTGACGTGGCACGCGTTTCGTAGGGTTGTCTTACTACAATAGCGCCAAGGCGACGGCGTGGTATATGAATAGCGGGCTTACGAGCATTCAATGCCTTCCAGTAAAAAGGGTCTCAGGTTCTCTACACTTACCATAAGAAACATAGCAACATTACGCTGGTATTCTATGAGATCGTGGTCCTATCCCGGTCGAGCCGTCCTAGTTGTGCTACAATCATAATATAGCTACAACGTGGCTCTAGCACGTAAAAATATCTTAAACAACACGTATTTATCGTGAGCTGTGATGATCCTGATAATTATTTTATTTTATTGTTGTGATCCTGAACGGGATATTCGGATAAATTTGTTAGATTATTGTATTGTCATCAGTCCTTGATACGAGTTCAAATTTTAAAGTCGATCGGCCGTTAAAAGTTGGTGAAAATTACATTAAAAGATTCCGTTACATAGATAGTGTATCTACACACGAAGCTAATAAACGCGTGTTAAAAATTTCTTATCTTGTATTCCTTGATGTTTTGATGCAAAATCGATTTTAAACTTTTTATCTTATATTTAAGAGTGACAATGCATTAGCAGTGCTATATCCTCGATTAAAAACCAACGTTGGTTTTTAATCTAGGATAAATTTAGGTGTCTAAAGGCACAGCATCCACTTACCATTATAAGTTGTAGCAAGTTGCCTTATGAGATCATTACTTTGTACTAACAACGGATAGTAAAGTAAAACTTTAGGTTTCTTCAATTATACAAACCGATCACTGGACGCGTTGTATTAAGATTATGGCAAATGTTGTGTGGAAATATAGCCATCGGTGATATGGTTAGTAGATTCTATGTAATATCAGGCCGTCTCACTCCGCGCTTTAGGCATAAAAATATACCTACGCTGCGCGGCCACCTACGAGAGACTGATTCCGTGAGGTTGTCAGCGCTCGAGTTGACGCGCACCTTACGTTAACGAAAAAGTATTTTTCTCTTATACTTGCACTTGATATTTATTTTTGAGTTTTTATTCAAATATGACCTCTTAAAAAGCTAAAGGATACTGCATAGCATACGGGTGCTTAAATAACAATAGCAATGTTGACTTTTCATTCTTTACTTTTTTCTAAGGATACCGAAAAGTAAGATATTATTATTTATACGTAGATCTAGATAATTAGGTACTTAGTTACTGACGCCATAGTTACAGTTTTATTATTTGATCATCGAACCGATCACAGCTTCGCAGTTTTCCATTTTTTCGCCTATAATGCCCATGACCTTAAGGCATTCAGTATAAGTAGACCTTCCAGTACCAGTAACTTCTTACTAATGCAAGATCAAAATATACTGGTTATTAGTTTAATACTTGGTCGATAAAAAAAGAGATTGAAAATAGTAGCTCTTTTCATTGTCACTCTTTCATTAATAATGTCGTCGCGTGTCACATGTTTTTAAATAGCAAAAAATGTGAAGCAGACAAGTGACGACACAATGGCTTTGCAATAAGTTGCAGCTCTAAGGGCCGCGGGTTCGAATCCCGCATGGAATAAGTATTTGTATGGCCTACAAATAATTGTTCTGAGTTTGGATATTTGTCCTTGTGAATTCTATGTATGTAAACTGCCCCCGCGATACAGGAGAAAATCTTAGTGTGGAGGTAACGGTTTTTGAAAAGAGAGGAAGAGAGACAAGTAATGAAATTATTCACCTAGGAAAAATTTTTGAGGTAACGCACAAAAAATACGAGTTTCAAAGACGTTCACGTTGTTGTAATCTTAATTTTCCTCGATATTAACCTTCCTCACATTGAACAACAATGTTCCCTCTGTGTATTCTACTACCAACTAACATAAAAGGATCCTTTTTGTTTTATCACAACACCTAACCCTACAGTAGGTGCGGCCTTAACATAGGCGCGTAACGGGCTAAGTGATATAGATTTTCATTTTGATTATATACGCGCGTCGCATAATTTTTTTTTCGACGATATAATCGTTAGGCTAATTTGACCAAGGTCGTGTTCGAGGCGTGCAAAGTATTATGATCATTAGCAACGTTGTAACTAGGTTTAAACACGCAAGTTTGCTATCAGAGCGTGATCCTACTGTTCTTGTACTACTATTTATTCTGTGGTATTATGATTTTGAAGCGCCAATGGCGCAACACTTGTGTCTCGATAGCTAAGAGAGCTATTAAAATAGATTATTTTTTATGTGCTATGTACGTTTTGGCCATATACTATCAGCTCCAATTGTTTTTATTGTTCTTCCAGTTGAGCATTTACGATTATACACCTATTTTAAATTGTAATAATAAGGTTATTTTCTATGTTGTTTGTTATTAAATAAGCGTTCGTCAGCATTTTAGTTCTAAGAGTTTGGAAACAAATGTTTATATTGTGCGGTTAAATTACGATGTTTATTGATAGAAATTGTCGATGTTGATTAAATTCTATTGATATCAGATGATCAGAGAGATCAGATCAGATGAGGCATTTTTGTAGGACGTCGATTCAGTCGCGCAACTAGATTTAGTCTAGTGAGCAGTGCGGCTGCAACTAGTTTTATTGTACGCATAGGACCGTGTGGACTTATACTTTAACAGAGGGGAACGCCTGCGTATGGCTACTCACCTCCGATACACCGGTGACACAGTTTTTGGGTGATCTTATAAGGAATGAGTGTAAAATGTAAAATTATTGTGTGATCCTGTACAATGTACTAGATCAGCCACACAGTTTTGGTTAAGAGTCTAATAAAAGGCAAAGATCTTATAAATTTTGAATTTTATTTTGCCGAGAGTCACGTTAAATTAATCATATCTTAACACGAATATTACATAATAAATACTAATGTTACAGATTTTTTCGCGATTAACTTATTTTTTTTAAAATTATGTGAACCAATGTGGACTTGTTTGCAATAGCAAAACTAACATTAGTTACATAAATCGCGATAAAATCCGCAAAATTAGTTTTACTCAACATGTTACATTAGTTTTAAATAATGGATTTGGGGCCAGGTGCCAGAAATAGCCTTACCATTAATCTTAAGACTTATTGTTATTAGCAATAAGTCTTAGTAACGTTAAATGTGGTAGAGCCATGCTGCAGCTATATTAATTGTTTACTTGTAGCACGAATGGATCT